TAGACATGAATCAGAGAAATATCTTAAGTAATTCAGCCCAAGATGCCTGTGTGACTCCTGGAGGAAGAGCCCAGACCAATGCTGCCAGGCAGGATGGCACGTGAGCAAACTGGAAGGACACTCTGGATCTTGGATTCTCCTAAGTGTAGCGTGTGTGCTGCAAGTCTGACCTACTCACCCAAGCACCCTGGGTAGGTACCTACAGACAAACACCCTAAGGATAAACATGCAAAGCAAACTGAGGTATTAAGCAAATCACTAGGACCTTCACCTACTGTTCAGGTAAAGCTTTGCAATTTTTTAAGTGTAAAAAGGAAAACTAACATTTCCTCCTACATGAAGAGAAGACTGCTGAAAACAATCCTCCTCTAAGATTGACAATAAGATATCTAGGGCCAGGATATAGGCACAAAATGATAGATTCTATATTTCTTCAATTATCTAAAGAGTTTAAGAAAATATTAGTATTATCTCCAAGTCTACTTGTGAGTACACAAAACCTATACATTATTTAAATAGGCCATGTTGATGCAGATATTTTATTAAACATATATATTTTAGAATAAGCTATTAAAATTTTTTAAATGACTTCTTATTGGTTCGTGTTTCCATCTAAACCACAACAGCCTAGTGGATTCTGGCCTTAGTCACTAATGTGATTTTCAAGCAAAAACATGGAGAAATACTTTCATGCCAATATTATGTGGAATACAGGGATATCAAAGGGGAAAGATAATTATAAGGATGAACAAAGGTAAAGAAAAAGTATCTGTTAAAAACATAAAGGCAGGCCAGAGCTTTAGCTCAGTGGTTTGCCACCTACCTCACAAGTGCAAGGACCAGAGTTCGATCCCTGGTACAAAACAAAACAAAACAAAACACATACACACAAAGGCACATTAAGGTACAAATAATTATTTAATACATGTCAATCCTGGAGAATGAATTAAATTCTTTAGCAAATGTACTATTTTTTAACTCACAGCACATTTTCTCTTTTGTAACTGTACCAATGCCTTTCACCAGTCAGCACTTTACAAGGGCTAATAATAAAGAGAGATAATTTACTTCATCCTATTTGAAGAGAAGATGGGTTTGGAAAACTATGTTTGAGCTGGTAAAGTTCTTTGTTATTCACCTAACATCAATTGTTCATTGTTCACAGTGAGGGAGAAAGTAGCTATTTATAAGCAGACACCTGTTTAGAGCAGACAACTTTAGCTGAATGCTCCTGCTATCCATATGAGTGAGGTGAGAATTCCTATTTGAGTTTACCTGTGTGAGTCATTTTCAAAAAGACTCCATGGTTGGTGAGTCAAAGAAACTCTCACTTGGTCTTGAACGTAGCTGAGGGGAAGTCATAGACACAGAATCACAGTGAAATACTATTAGTAAGTTCTACTCTTAAATCAGAAGAGTAAAATGAGCCATTTCACTCAGTTTATGCTTTAAATCAAATGACTCCTTAGGATAGGCCCATGAATTTCATTGCCACAGATGCATTTCTTCTCAGTATACTTAGTACAGTGTATTCTCCACAGTATAGTCACCTGGTTATAATGAACACAGGCATGCAGAGAGGGTTCTCAAGATGTGTGGAGTCTTTGTGACCTGCAGTCAGGCACTGATCCTGGATGTGCAAACCAGGAAGTGGATTCTAGTGCTACATTGTGACTGGGCACTGAGGAGGCAATGAGCCTGAGTTTGGCCTCATCCTTATCGCCTTAAAACAGAATGCTGAAACCCATAGGTCTGTGCCTGGGTCAGGACCCCAAAATGAGAGAAGCCTCAACCAGGGCCTCCTACCTCTGTGCTCCCTGGGCCTCCTGGGGTCTCTAAGCAACAGCAACCATGATTCCTACTAGCAGAAAGGCTCCAGCTAGCCTGACAGCCAGCAGGAGGAAGACACAAACACCTTCAGTCTGCTCAATCTGCTGAACTCTCCAGTGCAGAAAAGCATTCTGGGGTATGGGATCACCAACACCCTCGGAACAGAAAGTGCATGGCATCCTCTGCATCTCTGCCTGTGGTTAACAGGCCTTCCCAAGTCAGATGACAAGGAGGACCGGAATTTGCCTCTCTCCTGGTTCTCATGCCCAGGGCCCATTCCTGGGCCCACAGTGTTTCTGCCCAGCGCAACTTGCCATAATGCCACCTCTGAATGAGGCGACAGGTCTGCTGCTAGGGAAACATGAGTGCCCAGGGATAAGCACCCATGGAAGGAGGCATTCACAAGCTTCTACCCTTGAGCCCCAGCCCTGGTCCCCTGGTTCCCCCCCACCACCATGGTTAGGATCTTGACAGCTGAACTTGCCCATGAGATTAAGTACCTCCAAGTTCACAGAGCTATTTTACCAATTAGATTATATTACGCATAAAACCCAGAGTAATTGCCTGGTGCGTTAGAGGCACTATTTATTTTTTATATTGTAGCTATGGCTCTACAAGGGAAGCTTTTGCAGTAGATCTCACTAAACCAGTGAGATTTGGTAAATTGAACCTCATTTGTATTCAGAGTGCAGTCAAGTCCCCTTTTTTGCATGGCTATGTGCTGGTATATTTTCATCTCTCTCTCTCTCTCTCTCTCTCTCTCTCTCTCTCTCTATATATATATATATATATGCTTTATATTACACATAGAATTTTCTGGTTTCATTACTATTTCCTGTACATTCTGTGTATGGATTATTTAACCATAGTTTGACTGAATATTGATCTGATAATGCAATATTACTAAATGAACTCCCATGTACAATTACCAAGATTAAGTGGAATAATTAATGTTTTCAAATAATACATTTTTTACAGTCTACACTTAAAATAAGCTATTTGGTTTAATATGTTAAACTCTTCAAATGACCAAAATCGTATCATTTCAGAATCTAATTGGTATTTTGATGTTTTTACAACATTATATTTTGAAAACAGAATAAAAAGGAAATGCTTAGAAATGAAAAAAGGAAGTATATTTTGTATTATTTTTCCCTAAGGAATGCAATTTCACATGATTTAAAACAGAATTAAAAGATAATTATCTTTTGGCACTAATTTTAATATGTGCAATAAAACAAAAATTATCAACCCTGAATAAGGCAGAAGAATCTTTCCACTGAGGGGGGCCTATAAAGCTTCAGGGCATCCTGAGCATCAAGGCTGTCTCCCCAGACAAAAAGCAGAGCAGTTTTTAATGGCTTAGGGAGGAAGGCAGCTTTTTGTTCCAAGAGGAGGGGGAGGATTTCCACCGCCGACACAAGTGAGGGCCTCTATGTTTTCTCCGGCCCATGAGACAGCAAATGGAAAGGCCAGAGAAGCCAGAGGTGGTCAGTAGGCCACGGAGGCAGGCCTGTGTCCAGTAGGGTTCCCAGAGGTCACAGAGGTGGGGCTGTGGCCAGGTCTGCAGCAAGAGGGCAAGGACAGGGCTCCCTCAGGAGGTTTGCAAAAGCTCATCCCTCCCTCAGACTGCAAGGAAAGACAGAGCCTTTGGAAGAGCCACTGAAGAAGAAAGAAAACAGAAACACACCATCGCCAACTTTGGATGTCAAATAAACAATGCAACAAGATACCTATGGGCCCAATTCTACTCTTCCCTCCCTGCAAAGCCACCCTTGCTGTGAGCCTGGGAGGAAGTGCCATGGCCACCACACTGGGCTCCTGTTCTCACTGGAGGGCAGTTACAGCCCCATCCTGTGGAGGCTGCAAACAACAGGGATCACCACAGAACATCTGAAGAGGGAGTGGAGATGAGGGGTGGCCTGGTGCTGCTCACCCCTCTAGGTGCAGTCCCTTCTGTTCTTATCGGCAGGTGTGGCTGCCATTAATGTCACTGCCCCAGAGACTCCCTTTTCCTTCCAGAGCCCACCCAGGTCCTACCAGAGACAGAGCTCAGGTGAGAAGCGGAAGCAAACTTCTCTCACATGACAAAGCTCTCACAGAGCCCACGGAATAAAGAAAGCAGATTCCTGAGTCAGTTGGAATATATAATAACTGTGTTTCTTTCCAGATTAAGCTTCCACGTTGTCACATCACTTCTCCCTTGAGAAGCTTTCAACTGCTACCAGTAGTTCTGTATTGCAATCTACAAAGTTTTCACTCTTTGCCCATGCACTATTCTCTATTCTACAGAAGCTAATCAGATAACTAGAGATGAGACATGGTAAAAAAAAAAAAAACTCATCAAAACTCAGTTTCTAAAGCTTATCAAACAAGCACACAGGTTAATCTTTTTATACAATAAGGGAAATCCACTATAATAACCATTTCTAAGAAAAAAATAAAAATCTATAGGCCTCTTACATTTCCTGTCACAGGTATAGGTGGCTGGTGGTAAAACCCTAGAGGGTGCCGGGAAGAGTGAACAGGAGCCTGGAAATGCTGGGGGTGGGGGCACTGGCAGGCAGAATGCTTGGAAAGAACCCTGGGCCCAGCCATCCCTGCAACCTCCTCCGGCCAGGTCTCACCTGGGGCCAGGGCTGCTCAGCTCCCTCAGCAGCTAAGGATCTTGGACTGGAGGACAGGACCTGATGATGCCCTTCCAGGCCAGCAGTATTCAGGCTCCTCCCAAGAAGGGGAAGAGGAAGCCCAGGGCCAGAATGTCCACAGGGCTGATTTTACACGTTAAAGGTTCCCTCAGACACTGCTCTGTAGCAAGCACAACCCACAGGTTGGAGGATTATAAACTATATCAAGTGTTTGGACATTTCTGAAATTAGGTCAAAAACAAATTCTTATTAACAAATATTTCCACTTTTATATCCAAAATTATAGTTTCTTTGGCTATAGAGAAATCTTTTGAAGAATTTAGGGAGTTTAATAAAACACCAAAATTGTAAATATACATTGGCGGTCAAGTTAGGAGAATTACTTTCCATACATTCAACTACATTCAGTACATTGAATTACAATCAATACTGAAGGAGAAGGGGGCCCTGTCCACTTAAGGTGCAGAAGTAAAATCCAGGAGCTAAACCTCTCCTTACAAAGTGATGTCAGGCCCCACTTACCTGAATTTTTATTTGTCTTGTTCTGCCGACTCTTAACTTGCTCAGTCCAAAGGGTGGGATAGCGTGAGGCAATGTCTAGTGAACCAAGGCAGAAAGATAGTCCATCATGAACACAACAGTTGCTCAGTTAAAGACTTCAGTAGATCATATGAACCCTCAAAATTTAACAAAAAATTGTATGTTGTAACTTTTTGAAGAAATAATTAAAATGATTATATACATGGCAGATAAAAGGAAATAATAATATACCTCTTCAAATATTTTAACATACTTTTTCCTTCATCCAAATTAAAAGTTGTTTGACTCTGGAAAGTTCCACTTTAAAAGAACTGGGTTTTAGAAAACAGTTCAAAGTACAGTAATATTCTTATAGGGTAAAGCTGGTTGGTTTTTCACATAATGTGCAGATTTTCACTCTTTTAAAGGTTCAACACAAAGTGTGAAATCCAAAATATAATTTTTGCACAACTTTCCAGAAGCGCACCATTTTAGTGAATTGCTTTATGGTGTGCATCACCACTCTGTCCTGAAAACACAGACTGAACCAGCCCAGGTTTGAATTTCCATCTGCCATTGCTATACAAGCGACCTCCTCCTCTGTGTCCCACACTGGAGACAGATTTTGAGCATAGTGCCTGTGACATCATGCTCTCCACCATCCAGGCATTAGTTAGGACTGTTATTATTTGCAGAGTGACACAAGTCTACATTCTTACTTTTAGTTCATTTGTAATATGCATTCCATATACTTTTTCATCAAACTCTGATCCCATTTGACCCAAGAATCTGACCAGTATCTAAGATAATTTAATAAACATAAAACAGGAAATCTATCCTTGTCATGACCACTTATAAAAATGTGAAATGTGCACAAGGAAATGGTATAAGTTATTGTACCCTCTTGAAATATGCATTTTATGTTATCCAAATTATAAAATTGCAACCCACAAGTTTCTGCTACATGAAAACACATGACAACACTTAAAATCATCAGGAGAATAGCAGGTGCCCTCATGGAGGTAGAACTGGACAGATCCCACCCATCTGTGGTCGTCTGTATTTGAGATACATAGTGAAATTTGCAATCAGGAACATTAACATAGCCAGCATCTCACTTAAGCTATGTTAGTGTATGTGTGCAGTACAAGCACCTAAAATTGACTCTGCTAGGAAATGTTCAGCACACAGTACACAATTATTACCTACAGTCTACAGGCTGCACACTGGATCTCTGCTGGTGCCTAAGTGTACTTTGGAATCCTTTGACCACCTCTCCCTATTTCCACTGCAATTCCATGGTAATCAAACCTTTCTACTATCTTTCTGTGCATTCCAGTTTTGTCTAGGGTTTCTCGTAGATTCTGCATATAAATGGGATCATGCAGAATCTTGCTTGGTGTGCCTGGCTTGTTATAGCCTATTCTGAGTGGTGTCCAGCCATGATGATTGGATTCTGTCTCCCTTATCTCTGCCCACAAGCCCCTGTAGTCCCTGGGCTTACCTTCTTCATCTCCTTGAGGCTGAGTCTCTAGCGCTGGGGCCACGGCATCATCTGAATTCAGAATGGAAAAGATTTGCAAGAAGACTACAATTATGAGAGTAAGCTAAGTAAGTGTGCATACAGGATGGAATGCCAGTCCCACACAGCCCCCACATTGACCCACAACAATCACACCGTGCAAACACAGGCTCCGAGCAGGATTGGCCTAAGGCATGAGTAGACAATGGGTGGGCTGCTGCTTTAAAATGCTGCTCAAGGGTAGACACAGGCACCCACACAGGACATGGAGTGTGGTTAGAAACCACTGGAGCCAAGGACAGGCTGTAGGGCAGATGAGAAAAAGATGGCAAAACATGACTGGGGCACCTCACTCTGGGAAGGAAATTCCAGGTCATCAAAGTCATGAATTCAGGGCACTAGGTATGTAAGGGAGAGAAGGGCAGGGGTCGGTGGGCAGCTAAAGCCAGTCCTTCCTTTTCCCCTTTTTGCTAAGTAGAAAGGAGCACCAGGGGAGCAGGGGCTGGACAACAGCACCTGTGCTCTCCTCCTTAGACCCCTTTCTCTCCACTGTTGCAGTAGTGCGCACGACGTAGGTAGAGGACACCACATGTGGATGACACGCATGCGAGGCTGAAGTGTGGGGAGCTAAGGAGGATGCACTTCAGATGATCAGTCTTCATTTCATTAACTGAAGAGCACGTTTGGGTCCCCTGGCCAAGGCCAGGATTGAGAGCCTCAGAAGTGGCCCAACAGCGGCTGGGGGCAGTGCCTTGCAGAGGCCCCATTCTGTGCAATCACTCCAGCACCGACAGCACTGTCAAGGAGCCAGGGTGCCCAGAGCGCCGTCTATGGTCTCCCCCTGGCTGCCCACATTATTCTGCTGCTCAAGGACTTCAGGATCAAAATGCAGGACCAGCGCAGCTCCCAGGAGCATCTAGCTAACTGTGTACAGCCCTCTTCCCAAGCCCAAGAATAACCATGAAGCTTACTAGGGGGAAAGACAAAGATAATTTTCACAAAATCTTTAACATTGAACAATGTCTGGAAAACGTGTGTTGTCCATATAATGACAAAATTGTAACATCACTTATTTGAAATAACCAGGACTGATACTGAAGATAACAATGAACTGAACTGGGACCATTTTGCTATTAAGTATGTTGTTATCTGAGAAAAATAAGTGAAAAAAGGAACATACATAAAGCACATTTAACACATTACAAGTTTTAAAAGAACACACTTAACTGACATATGTCAGTCTTTTGGGAAGGCAACAGTCAAGCATGCTATTGCTGGTGTAGTTTGCTGAGGTCGACACGGGTCACCACTCTTGGCCCTGATGGTCCCTGTCCTCTGGCAGGCGTGCCAGCCTTGGCTCAGGGAGGAGGCCCTCCCATGCTCCTGTCCCTGCTCCAGACGACCACCATCCTCTATGGTCTCCTCCTCAACCCTGCTCCTCCCTCTCGCCCCTAAGACAGCACCACCTATGGGCATCACAAGCCCTTTGCGGCTACTGACTGGGCCCTAAAGGAAGCCAAACAAAAACTCAGACAACTGCGTGGTTTCATTTTCCTTCCGTTAGAATTTCTTAAATGGTTCGTTTTATTTAATCTTTAGGCCAATGTTTTTGGTTAATTTTGTGTATTCCTTCTCTCAGAAATACTTCTGTAGATCAAAGCCATAAGTCCATTTTCTCTTGCACACCCAAGTTCTTCAGGGATTCCCCCATATGCCTCTTTTTTTTTTTTTTTTTTGGTACCAGGGATTGAACTCGGATCCTCTCGCTTGCAAGGCAGGCGGCGGAACCACTGGGCTAAATCCCCAGCCTGCCTCTTAATGAACAGGATGAGGAATCCTCTATCAGTGTGATCTTGTGTCTCTCCTCCTTTTCAGTGTTTGATTAATTCTTCTAATCAGGAACATTACCACTTCCTTTTCCCTAAAAATCCTCAATATATCTACCCCAGTATCTTATAGATTCAAATTCAAGAAGCTCTTTCTGGTATTCTACACAGCTTTCCTTCCTTCCTTCCCAGTGGCAAACCTGGAGCCAGTGTTCCAGTTGTGCTTGTCATTCCTTTAGCTGGAACGTGGGCTGCTGCCCTGCACCAGGAGGTACCCCTGCTCCCCATTACATCTGGCCCTATCTTCTAGGCACCCTTGTCGGGGTGAAGTCTGTCCTTTTCCGTGAAAGGACCCTCTCCCCTAAGTCCTCAAGTGCTCCCCATCTGCCAGTTCACACTTGACTCACACGCGTTTCTCACTGCTGCATAGATCTTTCACAGACGGTCTCCAGGAGAGGACAGTGCCTACCAGCATTCTAATGTATTCAAGAAAGGGTGGAATAAAGTTCACTTTGTCTTTACATCACTTCTCCTTGCTACTGTGCTATAACCACATCAGGAAAAAGAAAAATGCCTAAGATGTTGGCACTAAACCTAATTTTCTGTCATCATAAAAAGAATTTCTGACTTTAAAGATTAATGTCAGATGAAAGAGGAAGTGTGTCCTTGGGACTGAGGGTGACAGCAGAGGAGAGGGCAGAGAGAAAGGACAAGGGGCTGCCCTGGTAGCCACCATGGACATGTCACCACCCCGAAAAGATGAGCTCAGATTCACCAGTGATTCTGACGGGGAAATGGCTGCCTGTCGCACCCCACAGAAGTGCCTGCTGCAGATGGAGAAAGTGACCCCTCTTCCAGCACTGCATCCTTTAGGGTCCTCCATGAGTGCTGTATTTGACATTCCTAGGCAGAGGCAAAATGAGGAGCTCCATCTTCTCCTCAGGTGACCTCCAGACTCTCCAGGTAGTCCCTGACACACCTAGAGTAGACCCTGATACACCTGTAGAGAATCCTGACACTCCTACCATCGATTCTGACACACCTGTGTGGTCCCTGACACACCTATGTGGTCTCTGACAAAGAGTGATCCCTGACACACCTACAGTCATGCCTGGTGCACCTAGAGTTGTCCCTGGTGCATCTACAGTGATTTCTGACAATCTGCAGTATACCTGGGCACATGCATTGTGGTTCCTGACCCAGTCAGTCAAACCTGACATACTCACAGTGGTTCCTGACACACTTACATAGTCCCTGAACACTGAGGATCATGACACACACACAGTACAGCCAACACAAGCCAAGCAGAGAAAGCCCTGAGGTGACCCTTGGTTTTCTTGTAGAGTGTGTGCCCAGTACCTCTCAGGTAACTTAGAACAATAAAGGTTGTATATATTTGTTGAATGGAAAAAGAACGAACCAACTGTTCTGGCATTCATTATTGTCACTACTATATGATTACATTTTAATCTGAGAATTTATGTACGGCATAGATTGGATTAGGTATTACAAATCATCATGTAATTTCATTTTAAAATAGTTACCTGTTTTTCCTGTGCCTTCTCGTTGGGGTAACTTTTCGTTTACTGAACCTAAAAGAAGAAAATAAGGAGTGAAATTATTTTTGACTCCCAAAGAGTTATCAGTGATTAAGCTAGGCAACTGTTTTATTCCTTTTTGGTTAAACAGCAGTGTTCTGTCCCTTTCTAGTTAAATTATTCGAGCTTTCCAGTACCCAGAGATGACCTTGACCTCCACAGTGACAGGCTGCTGAGTTGGAGCTCAATTCCCAGAGACCAGTTCCTACTTCTAATGCGAAGCACTTGAGCATATAAAACTCACTACCCCAGCATGGGACAGCTGGAAAATGTCACAAGGACACCCTAACATACACCTCCTACTGGTAGCTGAGGCAAAGGAATAATAAAAGTTGTGCAACTACAGATAATTAAGAACCCTAGTTTCAATTGATTCTGAGCTATAGAGAAGTATATTTTTGTAGAGGAATATAGGATATTTTCTAGGTAATTTGTGACCAAGTAATTTGTGAGAAGAGTTATGCACCTGTTATTGGTAGATTTATATGACAAATACGAGGTGTGATTCCTTCTTTCCCAATGAACTAGAACTCCATTAGATATCAACTCCTTCTTCATGCATCATTATTACACCTACTCAAAGTAATAAAACAAGTGCCAGGTAACCCTCCTTAGCAAAAACATTGCAGAACTTGAAATGTATCATTTGTTCTTCTCAATTCTGAATGTGACCCTGAAATGCAGACCAATGTACATATTAAAGATAAAAGCTTTAGAATACTTGTGAGAATGTTTATGTGTCTTGCTGACATAATAATGACATGCTGAGGAATGCACCAGTGATTCCGTGTGTTCAAGGACCTGGGCACCAGGATCCACGGAGGAAAACTGCAGCTACTGTAGATGCTCCTCAGTGCACCCTGATCGCCAATATGACTTCAAGAAATCTTGCTGGAGCCTTAGGCAGAAACGCACTTCCATTCTCATTTCTTCCCTGTGTGCCATCTCTACAAATCCAGTTTTTGTAAAGAGCTTGACTTTCTTATTCATCAGTTTAGTTTCATGTGTTGCTGCAATGAGTCAAAAAAAGTCCTTCTTTTGACTGGAAATGACAGTATTTCAGTAATTTTTCTACACATTAGTATGTGGGTTTCAATTTGTAAGGAAAATATAAATATGGTAAATAATAATGAGACAGCCCTTGCTCATGAAAGAGCTGCTCGATTGCATTAAGATAAATTTTTGTAATCTAAGATTACAGTAGTATAAACTGTGGACCTAAAATTTGATTAGAGACTGCAATCAGAATGCAGCATATAACAATTTCTACCCTTCCCCCTTTCTAAGCCAATCAACACTGTGGCTTGCTCATCAGTCCTCTGAATTCAATCAGCATTTATGTAAATAAATTTATACAAAAATAATTCTATCTGCTTCTAAATATGCAAAAAAGAAGTTTACAAAAGCACCAAATGTCCTTCATCACAGACCCCATAGTCTAAATATTGCACCATGGGGATTTTGGAGGGGGTCCCTCCGGTGTCTTTCCTTGGTCCTCCACCTGCTTGGGGCCAAAGTGACCCCTGCCCCACAGTCTTTCTGCAACATGCGGGACTCAGGGTCTTGGAAGCCACTAACATCACTCTCCACCCTGCCATAAAATGCATAGACCCAAGCAGCATGGATCCACAACCAAGCACACAGCTCTTACTCCTCCATGGCATTTTCCTAGAGATAGGAATCCACTGAAATCTCTGGGGTTTGTAAGAGGACTGGTCTGGAGCCTAGGCCAGTGATGCCTAACCACTATGGCACCCGTGTTATCACTGAAAACTCTGAAAATGGTTCTCCATCACTGGCCTAGGCTATAGGTACAAAAAAGGGCCTAGGAGCAGGAGAGACATGCAGGACATGTGCAAGACAGTGACAGTTCCTGGACCCAAGGCTGGCTGGATGGCTGCTCATAGAGGGGAAGACTGAGAATGGGAGATATTTTACACCATGTTCCTCACACCAGCAGCTGAAGGCCAGAGATGCATTTCTTCTTTGTGAGGTCTCATCCCACTTAGCTGCCACTGGAAAGAGTGGCTTTCAGCAATGAAGGTGTGCACTTCTGTTCTGTGAAGGTATACCATGAGACAAGCTTGTGTGGTTCACAGAGGAACAAGGGGGCTTTATACCTGAAGTTCTCAGCACTTGGTTCAAATCCAGTTGCACCCAGCAGGGTGGAGGAAATCCAAGGCATAGCCAGGAGAGGGGCATAGTGCTCCGCTAAAAGGGGTGCACTCCAGGATGTGTCCCTTCAAAGGTACTATGTGTGCTTTAAAACAGCAAGCGAGGAGGACATGAGACATGGTGCCAGAGAAGGGCATGAGTCTGATGGGCCAACCCAGCAGGGCATTTGCCCAGGGAAGAAGGGCCCCTCCAAGGCATGCCAACATGGGGACAGAGGGCCCTGCAGTGACACCCACAGTCTGAGAGCTTTCTTGGATCATGCCCCTGGGCTGCAAGAAGTCTCATTCTCTTTGCTGGGAGAAAGAGTGAGGCTAGAGAGTGCTGCATCCCACCTTCAGGAGCACCCTGCTTGCTGCTGCCACTTCTCAGTAGTGCAGGTGACTCTGCCCTCTCCTTCTCTAGTGAAACAGCATGAAGGTGGCCCCAGGAGAGGGTGGTAGCTCCTAAAGGTATGTCAGGGTGGGGAGCATCAGACTGGTGACCCTGCAGAAAGACCAGAATGCAGTACAGGAGCCTCCCCTAAAGTATGCTATCCAGCCATATGGAGTCCCTGCCTGTGCATCTCATACATCCACGAGAAAGAAGCCAGGTGAGCCTAGAGCAGCTATGCAGCAGGGTGTTGTGGCTGGGCAGAGGGTTGTCCCCTGGCCTCTGCTGGCCCCTTTCCTCCACTGATTCGCTCACCTAGGCAGCACATATCCATCATGTGCCATGGAATAAGTAGCCTAGGGGAACAGCCTTAGGGAGTCTAGTCCTGTCCAATCCAATCCAGGAGACAGCACTGCACTGAGAGCTCTCTAGTGACGTCCAGTGTGGGGACCCCCAGCGGCATGTGTCCACGCTCAGCGGGAGCCACTCGCTGCTCCAGCCACCTTCACTCACAACAGCCCACAGTCTGGGCACCACTGTTCCCCAGAGGAAGAGACTGAGGCCCACAGGGGTAACTGGTTGGTGAGTGTGGGGCCTCCCCCACCATCGTATTTGCAGCCCTGGAACTAACTGGATCTGAGGAAGATGGAGGAATGGGCTCCAGCCAGGGAGAGCAGCCAGCAGGGGTGAAGAGACAGAAGAGGACCGTGGCGGGGTTGTTCAAGGTCACAGAGGATGTGACCCTCTTCCCAGCTGTGGGATCTCCCTCTGCAACCCCTGGTCCTCCTGCCAAGGAGCCAAGGAATATCTATTATATGAGGTTCCCTGCTCAGCAGGGCTCCCTGGTCCTGGCCTGGAGCAGAGGCCAGGTGGGAGGACTGAGGAGGCAACTGGTCATTGCCTCACACCCCAGGGCTCAGGTCACCAGCCCAGCTCTGCATGTGCAGCCCGACTCCAGACCCCTGTCCCCACTACCAGGTGCAAGCCCCTAGGAGTGGAGATGACAGTTGTGCTTGAATGCATGGGGGACAGTGCAGCGGAGCATGGGCATGCAGTGGGCCCACGAATGCCCCTGCATGTACCATGCTCTGTCAGAGGACTGACTGAAAAGATGCCAGAGGGCCAGCAGGTGAGAGAACCAACAGGTACAGGGGAAGCTGTGTGGTTTCAGATTTTCTAAAACTCAGGACAGACAGCATTGTGCCCACCTGGTTTCCCTTCCTAGATTCCTGGGAGAAGAAACTCAAAGCTTTGCCCAAAGCAGTGGCTCATTCCACAGCCTAGGACTGTGGGCCCCAGGCCCTCCTCAGTGGTGGGCACCTTCACCTGTGCACCCCAAGACAAGCCTAGTGTAGGGAGTCTGCACTGTCTTCAAGGGGGGCTTCTTGAAGCTCCTGGTCTCACTCCAAGCCAGAGTAGCAATGTGCGGAACCAGCCTTAGTCAATGAACTACACGCCTCTGGGTGTCTTTGAGGAAGTAACAAAAGTAAGTAGCACTTCATAAGATGCTTATTATCTAGTGGATTTCATGATCATAGATTTCAAGTGTCTTAATTCAGGAATATATGAAAACCAGGGAGGAAAAGGAGAGAAACCTATGTATTTCAATCTCAAGCTGCAGTCCATGTGCAATATAAAAGCAATATGAAGAATAATCCGCCATTATTCTTGAATGAGCCACATAAACCAGGACTGTTTGCCTCTGAAAGTATTTTGCTTTCTTTCATTGATTTGCGCAATATTAGAAAATATGAGGGAATGGCCGTTTGGGCACTGGGTGTGGTGAAAGACAGTGCCCAGGGCACTCTGTAAACTAACACGCACAGCTCTTCACAAGTCAGACACCAAATCAAATGTACAACAAGAGAGCAGGGTATGAGAGGACTGTAAGCATTAGGCATGGAGAAGTTCTTTTTTTCTAAAAGGGAAGAACAAAATTAGTATTTTTCCTGAATAAAAAAATAATAATACCAAAATATTTTTCTTTGAATATTTTCATAATTCAAAAATGAGCCCAAATTTTAAAAGAGAAGGGAAGCAGAGGCCAGGCCCAGGGACAGGGCTCCCCACAGAGGGCCCAGGATGAGAGTCCAGGTGGGAGAAGCTCCACAGAGGGCCCTCAGTTCCCAGAGGGGTGACATCTCTGTCCACTGTCACAGCCGCAGCACAGGCTGCTCCTCTAACTTGTGTTTAATTTAAAAATAAAGCTAGTATCAGTTACACGTCCTCAGAAATTTGCTCCACCTGGGGCAGGGTTAGGGTTAGAGAACTCTTTTGTGAACTTGTTTGGGAAATTTTACAAATTTTGTGTGCTACATCCAGTTATGAGTTTACCTCATCAAGGACATAAAATGAATTTTCTCAAAACAAAATATGTTATGAAAGTACCTGCTAGGTGCTGGGAACTTAACTCACTGGTGCCACACCTGCCTGGCGAGCTCAAGGTTCTG